TCGGTAGTAGCGAGTTGGCTGGCATTGGTAGTAGCGACTGAAATGATGGTGGTTGAGATGATCTACATGAGCAGGTATGAAGCAAACCGTTGTTGTTTAGCTATGCTCTTATCACAGTTTTAAAGCATTCAAGAAATATCTGGCAGGCACAGTAGAAGAATAAGGGGCATGGTCTGAGATGTGGTCAAGACATGTAACTCATTTTGTACATGCAATCATCAGCCACAAACAAGTTGCAAAGCAGTCCAGACACTCATTGGCTAAAGACAGGTGCATCAAACTGGTGCACACGTCGCGAATACAAAGGGATAAAGAATGACTGTGCAGCAACAAACAGCTGGAAAATGACTGCAATTGGCATTGATTGCTCCATTTCAGAATTCATCCGTTTTGTATTAACCACACATTCACTGATCCAACACACCTGCTAGTAGCAAGCAACTGCATGTAAACCCTGCTCCTTATCAGTAACCTCAACACCCCATGTACAACTGAGTGACATATCCAAACCACATACTCTGGCCATGTCCCTATCACCTACTCTGCAAGTCAGAAATAGACAATTGTAACATGCAGAAATCAGCTAGTGTAACGTACCAGAGAGTTGGTTATACTTAGCCATGTTGTGGCGGCTGACATTGGCAGTAGCGTGGCCGATGATGTGAGCAATAGCGAGGTAGTGTTGACGGTAGATCTACCTGAGCAAGTGCGAAGCAAACAGTACGGATTAGCACAAAGGTACGCTCTACCCATGTTGCAGCTAGTTTACAGGTGGCAAACACACAAGCAATTTTGGCAAGCACAGTAGAACAGGGGGCATGGTCTGAGGTGTGTTCAAGAAATGCAGCTCAGTTGCACATGCAGCACATTGGCTGCTAACAAGTTGCACAGCAGTCCACACAGACCCTGGCTACAGACAGGAGCATCAAATCGGTGCACATGTCGCGAACACAAAGGGATAAAGAATGACTGTGCAGCAACAAACAGCTGGAAAATGACTGCAATTGGCATTGGTTGCTCCATTTCAGAATTCATCCATTTTGTATTAACCACACATTCATTGATCCAACACACCTGCCAGTAGCAAGCAACTGCGTGTAAACTCTGCTCCTTATCAGTAACCTCAACACCCCATCTACAGCTGAGCGACACATCCAAATCACATACTCTGGCCATGTCTCTATCACCTACTCTGCAAGTCAGAAATAGACAATTGTAACATGCAGAAACCAGCTAGTATAACGTACCAGACAATTGGCTTATACTTAGCCATGTTGTGGCGAATCTTGGTCCCTTGGTATCGGGTATCTAGCTGAAGGGGAACTCGAGAGCATAACACAATGATTAGAAGCATACACCCATGTAACAGCGGTCATTGGCGGCCACTGTCACATGGGGAAATACCTATCCAAAACAGTAGAATGCATACCCTATCTAGGCATACATACATACCACACTATCATACTTTACCACTGGTCCCGTGCAGGAGTGGAGTGGTGTCCGTCCAGAGCTTGAACCTACCTGAGTGGGAATGAATGATCAGGACACAATATGTTAGTTACATACACCCATACAACAGCAGCCTGTGACAGCCACTGTTGTATGGGGATAGTACAAGAAACAGACACGATTACTAAACAACATGGTGTCGTACAATACACCAAGCATGCAGTGCACAACAACATATTTACCAATGGTAGGCCCGATGACTTGACGCCGTAGCGCTGGTTGGCCGTAGCGCTGGTTGGATGTAGAAGAGATGACCTACAGGGCTCTTACCTTGCCCTGATCTATGCCTAACTACCCTAACTAAGAATGTGAATAGAATATGAATTGAATGCAAGAAATGAAATGTAATGTGAAAATATGAATATGGTGTGGCACGAGGTCCAATATTGTTTAGTGTTTGTTGTGGTTGATAGTTTGGTTGGCTCCAGCCGGCACGATTTCCACCACGGCTTGGCTGGTGCACTAATCATTGGCCGAGTGTGTGCCGCTCCACCTCGCTCCCCACCGGCCACATTGTGTAGTACTCACTGAGTGTGTAGGAGTGTACTGGTCCCTGAAGCGTGTGTGTGTGTGTGCAAGGGAACAGACATGCAGGTATGGAAATAGTAAGAATGATGTATGGCTGTATGATAATGCGGCGTGAAACAGTACAATTGAGTTCATACACAAACAAATGAATTCCTGATAAATTCTAACAAACATGATTTGGGATCGTGCAAGATTGGTAGTAAAGTACTATCAGGGTAGGGGGTTTAGTTACTGCAGACAACTACAGACCATATAGGGCATGGATTGTGACACATCATATAGGGCATGGATTGTGATGGTATACATGCAAAAACAATACATTTATGGATAGCCAAGATGGCTTGCCAAGGTGTGGCCTTTTGCCGTACAATTTCACCGACAGGCTTCCACAGAACAGGCCAGGAAGTTCTGAATATGGAATTTGAATCGCATCAAATTTTCTTCTTAGTCAAAGAAATACAGATTACTTTTCCTGCCCCGCGACCCCATTTCGAGGTGAGGTTTGATCGAAGGCAGTCATGGAGTCGCCAGCAACCCCCCCCCCCCCCACAACCCCTCTTTACCCTTCCATAAAGCCGGGGGAAATGGAACGGAACACCTGTCATTTTGTAGCAGCTACATTGCAGCAAGAGTCTTGCCGCAATGAAGTGCCCCTCCCAAGTTTTTAAGGAGCAAAATAAATCATAACGGGAAGCATGGATGGCAGGCCTGGAACAAACACATGCACAAAAGCGTGCACACACACACACACGCGCGCGCGCAAGAGGGAGACACACCACATGCATAATATCGTGGGCAGATTACAGCTAGTATTCTTGAAAGAAATCCTAAAAGGCAACATCACAATTGTGATTGCCAGGTATGCTAGGTTACTCATTAGTTATAGCTATATAGGGCAAATCCTGTCTATGTTCTCGTTTGTATAATGGTAGAAACAATGGAAACAACTGCATATCATTCACTGCACGACTCATGCAGCTCTTCTTGCTCACATTGGAGGTCAGATGAAGCCAGACTAAGGAGCGTGGGGTTCTTGCTGATATGATCCAAACAGAGTTGCCAGTGCAAAACTAGTATTTTGAAAGTGCTAGACTTGGGCTCTCTGGCGTATTTGGCATGGCCCTAATTGGACGGATTTCAAAGCTGCATGGGTGAATTTTTTACTGAGCGACTTGTAAAGTATGCAATAGCCTAGAGGCATGCGTTTTGAAGGGGCCCAAATTGATACTTATCGTGACACCGCAACAGGCCATGTTTCCCAGCCTACGTAGGTTGTCCGTGGCAAACTCGACTAGGAGCACATAAGAAACAGTGACACAGAACAACAGAGTCATTTAGGGGCTGGTCAGACTGCGGCAAAAACGAAATACTCCTGTGATTTAATCCGAATCTCCATAGAAACTTGACGCCGGAGCAGCGAAATCGAGAGTTGACGCTCCAAAAAAAGCAAGAACGGACCACGCTTTTTCGCTCCAAACAGGAGTTTGACACTGATATGCCATTGACGCTGGTATTCACTGATTTTTTCATCTTGATATCGAGGAGCCAATTAGCCATGGACAACAAAACTCATACGGAAGGTTGCAAGGATTACACTGAAGGTATTCGCGATTACTGAGATGAAGGAATTGGACGTTGTTCGTGGAGATTACCACTTGACGCTCAAAATGAATTTTGAATTTTCATTCTCTCACACGTGCAGTGTGATCGCGATTCTAATCTTGAACAATTTTCTTTTTTCGTCAGGCACCCAAAATTTGCCGCAGTCTGGCCAGGCCCTTAGGGAAGCCTATTCGATGAGCTATATAGCAACCAGGCAGGCACAGTGGGTTGGTCGAAGACCATGATTGAGATACGAGAGGTACCTGGTTCAAGTCCTGCCTGGGAGCGTTTTTCCAGCAGTGCTGCTATCCACAGTCAACTGGGAACTTGTGGCCAGGCACAAGGGGTACATGGATGCAGCTAATGGGGTCGTTCTCGGCACTTGTGCCAGTGGTGGTGAGACTTATCCAATCAACCCCACCGTTAGGTGCTGCATCTACCGCTAGGGTTTACCGGTCTTCGGAAACGGACACGATCATTTACATACAGCAACTAGTCCACTCTTGCCCATTCGCAGTAATAGGGCTTGAAAGTGGAGACATCAGAAAACAACAATGGATGAATTCTGGGTCAAATTGGATCCACTCTGTCTATAGCCAAGTACAACGCGGTGGGTAAGCGTCTCATATTGCATGAAGGTGTATTGTTTCTCTATCGGTAGTGGGTTCCCCATCCAAGAGCAGGGATGTAGTAGCTCTCACATCTGTGGTGTGGTGACCATGTATCACCATGTATCACCATGTATCACCATGCTGCCCATGTTTGCCTATGTAGTACCTATGACGGCCATTTTCTGGTGTGGTGACCACACTACACTAACTACACACGAGCTACACGCTTGCAAGAGGGTCCAGGCCGGTCACCACCAGTGAAGGTGTCGTAACCCTGCTGTGAAGGAAAACCTCCTAAACATACATGTACCGTATTTTCCGGAGTATAGTGCGCACTTTAGATGTGCTATTTTGGCCCTAAATCGCAGGTGCGCACTATGCTCCGAATATGAAATGCATGTACTTCAATGAAGATTGAAGTGCGCACCCCCAATGAAGATTGGGGGTGCGCGTTATACAAAGGTGCGCACTATACTCCGACAAATACGGTACATGTATTTAACCATACTAAACTAGGTACACATGGATCCAACAGTCAGAATTGTCATGACTACAGGCTGGCTGTGACGAAGTACTTTCAAGCCCTGTTGGTCAGTTGTTCCACTAGGTCGCACACACATCTAGAATTCACATTGCCCACAATTTCAAAATCTCCATCTGGCATCCATAATGACCATTTCTCTTGCAGTACAGCTTAGTTATGCACATTTCAATCAAGATGAACATGTTTGCATGCTTACCTATGAGAAAGAAGGTAGGTAGTAGCAGCAGCAGCAGCAATCAAGTTCTTGATGAAGAAGCCCTGTTCCAGCATACTGTTCTCAACCCGTTGCCTGTGCTTGTCCAGGTAGCTGGTGAACAGACTGACTAGCGGCGACAATTGCCATGGGTGTTGTGCTGGCGCATAGTGGAGAATGCACGTTACCCGGGCATCTGGGTGAGCATTGCTCTGTGGTTGCAAAACACAACACAAGAAAGTGAACAAGTATATGCATATGGTCCCCTGTAGGCATTCACTTAGTAATCATATTCAAACACAAGTGGAGAGTAGCATGGCGTCCATAGTGGAGAGTGCAAGTGGAGGGTAGCATGGCGTCCATAGTGGAGAGTGCAAGTGGAGGGTAGCATGGCGTCCATAGTGGAGAGTGCAAGTGGAGGGTAGCATGGCGTCCATAGTGGAGAGTGCAAGTGGAGGGTAGCATGGCGTCCATAGTGGAGAGTGCAAGTGGAGGGTAGCATGGCGTCCATAGTGGAGAGTGCAAGTGGAGAGTAGCATGGCGTCCATAGTGGAGAGTGCAAGTGGAGGGTAGCATGGCGTCCATAGTGGAGAGTGCAAGTGGAGAGTAGCATGGCGTCCATAGTGGAGAGTGCAAGTGGAGGGTAGCATGGCGTCCATAGTGGAGAGTGCAAGTGGAGGGTAGCATGACACCCATGTGCTGTGGACTCAAGTCAGGAAGATACACTGTACTCCACCGGGGAGCAAGTATCTACCCCCTCCCCCCCCCCACACACACAGGCATACCCGCGTGCCACGTTCTGTACTCAACCAAATGGATACAACGTGTCCTACCAAGGGGGCAAGCACCATCCTCTCAAGTACACACCCCGCTCTGTGCCAAGTTGATACAAGACATCCAGTCTATGTGTAGCCCCCCCCCCCACACTCCTCTACCCTTATTGATCAATTCATGTTGTATTTGGAAGTATCTTCGAAAGAAACCGGGTACGTATCGCGGGAGTTTCATTTCCTGGATGGGAGGAAAAGGAAGGGAAGAGAAGACGAGCAATGAGGAAATAGACCCCCCCTCCCCTCACACACACACATTGTTCTGTGGACTCGAGCCAAATTGATGCCGGGTGTTGTATCGGAGTAAGTACCCCCCCCCCCCCGACACACACATACACCCGTAAAACGTATGAATATATGTGATGCAGACTCAAGGCAAGAGACACTGTGTGTTCAGGTTCATGGTTGCAGAACAGTTGAATAGATATTGGCCACAAGTGTTGGCTTCTCCTAAATCGGCCAGTTATTGTCAGCTACCACCACGGATTCATAGGGGCATACTGGCCTAGGGTGAAGTCAAGGGTTCATAGGGCACACTGGCCTAGGGTGAAGTCAAGGGTTCATAGGGGCACACTGGCCTAGGGTGAAGTCAAGGGTTCATAGGGCATACTGGCCTAGGGTGAAGTCAAGGGTTCATAGGGGCACACTGGCCTAGGGTGAAGTCAAGGGTTCATAGGGCATACTGGCCTAGGGTGAAGTCAAGGGTTCATAGGGGCATACTGGCCTAGGGTAAAGTCAAGGGTTCATAGGGGCATACTGGCCTAGGGTGAAGTCAAGGGTTCATGGGGCATACTGGCCTAGGGTGAAGTCAAGGGTTCATAGGGCATACTGGCCTAGGGTGAAGTCAAGGGTTCATAGGGGCACACTGGCCTAGGGTGAAGTCAAGGGTTCATAGGGCATACTGGCCTAGGGTGAAGTCAAGGGTTCATAGGGGCATACTGGCCTAGGGTGAAGTCAAGGGTTCATGGGGCATACTGGCCTCGGGTGAAGTCAAGGGTTCATAGGGGGCATACTGGCCTAGGGTGAAGTCAAGGGTTCATAGGGGCATACTGGCCTAGGGTGAAGTTAAAGGGGAAGTATACCCTAAAATCAAATTTTCACCAGTTGTAGTCTTCTGGGCGCTGAGTCGAATGGTCTTGGTCCGAGGAAGCTGCGACGCTCCCTTCCTACTTGAATCCCAATCGAACTCGCGCACTTCCACTGAAACTGGGTGACTGCGCCCTACTAGATGGGGATTTGTATGCAAAATGTCACTAAAAGCGCCATTTCGTTCTTATAAAAGCACGGATGACCGCGATTGGCCCATATGTTGTAGTCTTTTGGACGCTGAGTCGACTGGTTTTGGTCCGAAAAGGCTGCGATGCAGCGTTCCTCCTTTATTCCCAATCGAACATGGTTGAACAAGCGGTCACGTGCTCCTGGGTGCCCAAATCACCTGGTCACCGCGCCAGCAGGTGACAAATTTCACACCAAGGTTCAACTCGAGTTCAACTCGAGTGACAGGACTGCACCCAAAAAAGGTCAAACAGGCTAGTAAGTTGTACCCTGCAGGCACGGTGACCAGGTGACTGGTGTACGCAGGAGCACGTGACCGCTTGTTCAACCATGTTCGATTGGGAATAAAGGAGGAACGCTGCATCGCAGCCTTTTCGGACCAAAACCAGTCGACTCAGCGTCCAAAAGACTACAACATATGGGCCAATCGCGGTCATCCGTGCTTTTATAAGAAAGAAATGGCGCTTTTAGTGACATTTTGCATACAAATCCCCATCTAGTAGGGCGCAGTCACCCAGTTTCGGTGGAAGTGCGCGAGTTCGATTGGGATTCAAGTAGGAAGGGAGCGTCGCAGCTTCCTCGGACCAAGACCATTCGACTCAGCACCCAGAAGACTACAACTGGTGAAAATTTGATTTTAGGGTATACTTCCCCTTTAAGGGTTCATGGGGCATACTGGCCTAGGGTGAAGTCAAGGGTTCATAGGGGCATACTGGCCTAGGGTGAAGTCAAGGGTTCATGGGGCATACTGGCCTAAAGTGAAGTCAAGGGTTCATAGGGGCATACTGGCCTAGGGTGAAGTCAAGGGTTCATGGGGCATACTGGCCTAGGGTGAAGTCAAGGGTTCATGAAGCATACTGGCCTAGGGTGAAGTCAAGGGTTCATAGGGGCATACTGGCCTAGGGTGAAGTCAAGGGTTCATAGGGCATACTGGCCTAGGTTGAAGTCAAGGGTTCGTAGGGCCATACTGGCCTAGGGTGAAGTCAAGGGTTCATAGGGCATACTTGCCTAGGGTGAAGTCAAGGGTTCGTAGGGCCATACTGGCCTAGGGTGAAGTCAAGGGTTCATAGGGCATACTTGCCTAGGGTGAAGTCAAGGGTTCATAGGGGCATACTGGCCTAGGGTAAAGTCAAGGGTTCATAGGGCATACTGGCCTAGGGTGAAATCAAGGGTTCATAGGGGCATACTGGCCTAGGGTGAAGTCAAGGGTTCATAGGGGCACACTGGCCTAGGGTGAAGTCAAGGGTTCATAGGGCATACTGGCCTAGGGTGAAGTCAAGGGTTCATAGGGGCACACTGGCCTAGGGTGAAGTCAAGGGTTCATAGGGCATACTGGCCTAGGGTGAAGTCAAGGGTTCATAGGGGCATACTGGCCTAGGGTAAAGTCAAGGGTTCATAGGGGCATACTGGCCTAGGGTGAAGTCAAGGGTTCATGGGGCATACTGGCCTAGGGTGAAGTCAAGGGTTCATAGGGCATACTGGCCTAGGGTGAAGTCAAGGGTTCATAGGGGCATACTGGCCTAGGGTGAAGTCAAGGGTTCATGGGGCATACTGGCCTAGGGTGAAGTCAAGGGTTCATGAAGCATACTGGCCTAGGGTGAAGTCAAGGGTTCATAGGGGCATGCTGGCCTAGGGTGAAGTCAAGGGTTCATAGGGCATACTGGCCTAGGGTGAAGTCAAGGGTTCGTAGGGCCATACTGGCCTAGGGTGAAGTCAAGGGTTCATAGGGCATACTTGCCTAGGGTGAAGTCAAGGGTTCATAGGGGCATACTGGCCTAGGGTAAAGTCAAGGGTTCATAGGGCATACTGGCCTAGGGTGAAATCAAGGGTTCATAGGGGCATACTGGCCTAGGGTGAAGTCAAGGGTTCATAGGGGCACACTGGCCTAGGGTGAAGTCAAGGGTTCATAGGGCATACTGGCCTAGGGTGAAGTCAAGGGTTCATAGGGGCACACTGGCCTAGGGTGAAGTCAAGGGTTCATAGGGCATACTGGCCTAGGGTGAAGTCAAGGGTTCATAGGGGCATACTGGCCTAGGGTAAAGTCAAGGGTTCATAGGGGCATACTGGCCTAGGGTGAAGTCAAGGGTTCATGGGGCATACTGGCCTAGGGTGAAGTCAAGGGTTCATGGGGCATACTGGCCTCGGGTGAAGTCAAGGGTTCATAGGGGGCATACTGGCCTAGGGTGAAGTCAAGGGTTCATAGGGCATACTGGCCTAGGGTGAAGTTAAGGGTTCATGGGGCATACTGGCCTAGGGTGAAGTCAAGGGTTCATAGGGGCATACTGGCCTAGGGTGAAGTCAAGGGTTCATGGGGCATACTGGCCTAGGGTGAAGTCAAGGGTTCATAGGGGCATACTGGCCTAGGGTGAAGTCAAGGGTTCATGGGGCATACTGGCCTAGGGTGAAGTCAAGGGTTCATGAAGCATACTGGCCTAGGGTGAAGTCAAGGGTTCATAGGGGCATACTGGCCTAGGGTGAAGTCAAGGGTTCATAGGGCATATTGGCCTAGGGTGAAGTCAAGGGTTCATAGGGGCAAACTGGCCTAGGGTGAAGTCAAGGGTTCATAGGGCATACTGGCCTAGGGTGAAGTCAAGGGTTCATAGGGGCACACTGGCCTAGGGTGAAGTCAAGGGTTCATAGGGGCATACTGGCCTAGGGTGATTTCAAGGGTTCATAGGGGCATACTGGCCTAGGGTGAAGTCAAGGGTTCATAGGGGCATACTGGCCTAGGGTGAAGTCAAGGGTTCATGGGGCATACTGGCCTAGGGTGAAGTCAAGGGTTCATGGGGCATACTGGCCTCGGGTGAAGTCAAGGGTTCATAGGGCACACTGGCCTAGGGTGAAGTCAAGGGTTCATGGGGCATACTGGCCTAGGGTGAAGTCAAGGGTTCATAGGGCACACTGGCCTAGGTTGAAGTCAAGGGTTCATAGGGGCACACTGGCCTAGGGTGAAGTCAAGGGTTCATAGGGGCATACTGGCCTAGGGTGAAGTCAAGGGTTCATAGGGGCATACTGGCCTAGGTTGAAGTCAAGGGTTCATAGGGGCACACTGGCCTAGGGTGAAGTCAAGGGTTCATGCGGCATACTTGCCTAGGGTGAAGTCAAGGGTTCATAGGGGCATACTGGCCTAGGGTGAAGTCAAGGGTTCATAGGGGCACAGGGGCGTGCTCGGCCCCCCAACTAGGGGGTGCACGGGAGCCGAGGGGAGCCCCCCCCGGCAATTTTCTGCAATTTGTTTGCAACCTTTCTTGAATTTTAGAGCATATTTGCATACATTACAATTGCAATTACCCAGATTGAAAATATTTGGGGGGGTTGCACGTGCCCCCCGTGCCCATCGCCGAGCACGCGCCTGGGGCATACTGGCCTAGGGTGAAGTCAAGGGTTCATAGGGGCATACTGGCCTAGGGTGAAGTCAAGGGTTCATAGGGCACACTGGCCTAGGGTGAAGTCAAGGGTTCATAAGTTAGGGGCATACTGGCCTAGATTGAAGTCAAGGGTTCATAGGGGCACACTGGCCTAGGGTGAAGTCAAGGGTTCATAGGGGCATACTGGCCTAGGGTGAAGTCAAGGGTTCATAGGGGCAAACTGGCCTAGGGTGAAGTCAAAGGTTCATTGGGGCATACTGGCCTAGGGTGAAGTCAAGGGTTCATAGGGGCATACTGGCCTAGGGTGAAGTCAAGGGTTCATAGGGCACACTGGCCTAGGGTGAAGTCAAGGGTTCATAAGTTAGGGGCATACTGGCCTAGATTGAAGTCAAGGGTTCATAGGGGCACACTGGCCTAGGGTGAAGTCAAGGGTTCATAGGGCATACTGGCCTAGGGTGAAGTCAAGGGTTCATAGGGGCATACTGGCCTAGGGTGAAGTCAAGGGTTCATAGGGGCAAACTGGCCTAGGGTGAAGTCAAGGGTTCATAGGGGCATACTGGCCTAGGGTGAAGTCAAGGGTTCATAGGGCACACTGGCCTAGGGTGAAGTCAAGGGTTCATAAGTTAGGGGCATACTGGCCTAGGGTGAAGTCAAGGGTTCATAGGGGCACACTGGCCTAGGGTGAAGTCAAGGGTTCATAGGGATACTGGCCTAGGGTGAAGTCAAGGGTTCATAGGGGCAAACTGGCCTAGGGTGAAGTCAAAGGTTCATTGGGGCATACTGGCCTAGGGTGAAGTCAAGGGTTCATAGGGGCATACTGGCCTAGGGTGAAGCCAAGGGTTCAAAGGGGCACACTGGCCTAGGGTGAAGTCAAGGGTTCATAGGGGCATACTGGCCTAGGGTGAAGTCAAGGGTTCATAGGGGCATACTGGCCTAGGGTGAAGTCAAGGGTTCGCTCCCGTTCGTTGCATTTTGCATGGCAAGACAATTTTGGAAAGTGGAAAATTGGTTTACGGGGTAGCTGTCTCCCTGACCCCCCCCCCCCTATTTTGACCTGGCTAGAACCCTGCACTGGCAGAGTTAACCGGAGAAATGTGCAGTGCACCCGAGTGGAGAACAATGATACACAGGTAACACAGGTCATACCACTCACCTGCGTGGTCGCAGCCGTCCCACACTGTCAGCGTCTAGTGTCAGGCACCGGGTGAGACAGGATGACCACAGCCCATCCATCCACCATGAGATGGTTGATGACAGCCTGCCTGCAGAGAGAATAATTGGAACGGCAAAGAAAAGAGAAATGAGGTGAAATTGTTGAGTAAAACCTATAAGAAACAATAATCCGAAGATTTTATATTGCTGTTTTTTTCTCATGTCCACTTCATTCTTGATGATGGTCATGAAGACCGAAACGTTGAAACGATACCTGTAATGGATTTGTGTGAAATGCAGTGCTCTCTTGAGTGTAGGCAGTTTGCCTGCAAACTATTCAAGAATAATCCAAGTTTATGGGAAGAATCATGGGAATGTAAGAAAATTAGGTCTTCACCCTGGTTTCTGGCAAGACCTGGAAGGATTTGCAACGGCAAAAAAGTAAAAATGTCATGAATAAAAGCAACAAGTTTAACATTGGTGAGGTCATAGTCCAAAAGAGAACATCGATGGTCAACAACTTACTTACCCGTGATACAGAGCATGCCGGTACGTGTAAAGTTCCAGGATGAAAGTTTCCCATATAGAGCATGGTAGGCCGATGAGTAGAAACAACCCTCACTCCAGACTGGCAGTGGCCGATCAGAATAAAAAAACACCTAGCGAATGCACCGTTGTGAGAGCAGTGGAATGGAATGCTGTCCGGTTGACGACAACTGAGAAGTCTCCTTGAATGTTCCTGGCAATACATCCGCACATTGCTCACCAGTCACCAAGGCACATACGGAAGAAAAGAACTTTCATTAGCAATGATCATGACTTGGGAAAGCTGGAATAGATACACGTCATGCCACATGAGAGCACGGGGGGGGGGGGGGCTTGACCTCGGATCAGTGGGGTTTTGTTGCCGGCAGTGCCAGGAGACTGAATTGGTCAGCCATTCCTTGCTCATGCCAACACATATTGCCAGCTTCTAGACTTCGGAAGTGATCTCAATACCACCAGAAACAAAGTCCAACGCCCACTATCACCCACCACCGCAGGGCACACGGTAGCAACAACCAAGAACACGAAGCATTGAATGCAAAAAGTTCACCAACACCATCTTGTCTAGAGCTTACCTGTTGGTGGGGTACACGTGCAAGATAAGAACTACGAACCATTGTCACGCTGTCCTGGGAACATAATGTTACTAGTAGTGGTCAAATCCCACAAACGTCCGATGCACACAGTGGAAAACAGGTGTACAAATGGTGGTACCACCACCTCGCTGAAGGGGTCATGCACGAGTGGATGCTGGCGAGTAATGGTGTATGTTTTAGCGAGATAGTAATGCAAATCTCAAGCATTGCGCTGTTGCTACTAGTGTACTTGCAAGTAGTTCAAAGTCACCATTCAGATGTGGACATTGCAAACAAATGCTAAATGCGCTCAGGATATTGGATAGTCATCACACCGAAACCATCATACTGCCCGTTGTTGGTTAGAATCAATCGGTTAGCAGTTTAGCAGGCTGTTAGTTTTCACAAAAGAATATTATAAAGAAGAAACCATAAAATCATAATAGACAGCATGGGACCTCGGTGTAAATCATCCAATATCCATCAACTGGGTCAGCCGTCTCGTATGATTTTTGACTTTACCAGAGAAAAAGGATTAGGACGTAAAGTTAGGAACAGTCTACGGAGGCGTAATTTCGAAGTACACCCTATCGCCAGCATCCAAACATCTACATCTACTTGTCATGTACATTTGACTAAGTGCAGTGTCATGCAATGATCCACTAGACAGCATTGTGTCATTGTCCAAGCACATAATTTGGTCAATGTGCAGCTGGTAGGTACAAGACTCAAGAGCGCTCCACACCTTGACCATGTATACTATACCCATGTGGATCTACATTGCGGTCAGGCAAACCGTCCGCTCCAAACATACGCCCCTCTCCAAAACACATTATCGGGCAGTGTTGCTGCTAGCGACCACAACACAATAGTCATGTAGGTCCACAAGCGTGAACGTACAACACAGTCTGACTCACAGGAACGCCCCGCACTCATGCAATAGCCACCAGACCACCAACGTCACAAGACACTGTACCTTTGCTTGCGGAGCGATGCCGTAGATCTACGCTGCTTCAATATGCACGGCGTTCCTGATGCATGCTTGCATACAGTCCGTTGCCCTGCCCTGCCATATACATGTAAATTGAAGCAATGCTATAGCGATCCAACGTAAGACTCGACGCTCGAAAGATGAAGAACTGTGTGCAAAGAAAAACAAACGGCAGAAAGTTGAAAGAGATGGGTGGCTGGAAACCGTTCTGACTGAGCAACTGCATAAACAACTTTCCACTGGCAATAGCCGACCACAATGGGAGACGAACTACAGTCTACAAGACCACAGTGACGAGGCCTCGCTCTCCAACTTCAACAAAGTAGACACACCTTTTCCGAGATTTACCACAAATCCAAATAGAGAAGGCGATTTTCACCCATGGTTGCAACTCGTCCCAACAATAATTGTACATGACTACTCACCCTCAAGACGGAGTGAATACAGAAGCTGTCATACTGACCGAAGATTTAAAAAAAACACTGTGCTTATGTAACTAAAGACTAGGCATTTCCAAATAAGTGTTTGCAGCGACTCCGGCGATTCTTGAATCGTGTATTGCTCTCCAGCGCTTTTCCTACCAACTTGAGTCAGTCTAGTGAGCGTTCAATTCGGCAGGGAAATCGCGAGCTCCCACGTAGGAAGCAACACACTATTTGTTTTCTTGTTTCCTCTAGTCTTTCTTACAAGAAGCTTGTGGAAATGGTCTTGACGCAGCTTAGCAAGTGCTAGCCGGAATAGCCTGCATGTAGACTTACACCGAACACGTACACCGAACACGTACACCGAACAGGAAGGACACAATCACGCGAGCTTACATCCGTCTTCTTGTTCTTTCACGGAACTCGCGCATGCGCAGTCCAGCTGATAATGGCAACGAGTTCTTCCGTCGCCTTGGAGGAAAGAAAAGGAGAACAAAGCAGGAAGGGGGCATCAGGGTTAGATACAGCGGTAAAGGAGCAGCAGTGAAGCATTGCAAGTGCAATTCCGAAATGAAGACACATTGCAGACACCAGCCATTTGGTTAGTGGACAACAGAAACCATTCACACCGAACCAAATGAAGAGGGTCGGAAAGAAACAATCTCGACGATATCTAGAAAACCACGGCGAACGAAGTCAAGCCCTTACCATCGTTACAGTCGCATGTAGTTGCTGGTTGAAACTTCCCACGGAGCTGCGGTTACATAGCGACACTCTGTCTTCGCATCCCTATCACCGAAAAGCCAGAGTTCTAAAAAGCAAGGCGGATAGTTGTTCTTCAAGTCCCAGCTTCAGGGCAAGAGCGCAGCGTTAGCGAGCGGTTTAGGGAGTGGCGGTCTGTCCACTACCGAGATTACTTGAAACTTCTCGCCGTGGAACATCGTATACGTCAACACAAGTCACAACTCAGGTCATCTCAAAATGCAGTTTGATACGAGAACATGCACAACCAACAGCTAGGCAAGAGGAGGAAACTTCGAGAGAGAACTGAAACGCAAACCATCTCCGACAACAACAACAACGAAAGAAGATGAGCCGTTAGGGCGCGCTGGAAAGCTGCAGCTGCATCTTCGTGACCAGTTCCGAGAAGCTCCTGCGCGCGGGATGGCTGGGATGTGCATGGGCCGGGGTCACGAGGTCATGGGGTCACAGGTTCATCTCTTTGTTTCTATGGAGATCGCACGAGAGGAAGGCTCGAGAAGACTAGAGTGGTAGAGAACATTACGTAGTCGACGCTTATTGGTTACCACCGGCTGGAATCCTGGGAAAGCACGTGGCAGACGTGACCGGAGACACTCGAGAACTGGGTGCGATATGTTCCACTACGTCTACCACCGATGTACCGGTGCACCGCGAGCCGGCCTGCCGGTAAGTTGTCTATTGTAGCGGGTGAAAGCAACCGTCTACAGCCACAGGGGTTTCTGGACGCTTCCTGGTAGATATACCGGTATACCTGTAAAGGCTGCGGAAGAAATTTTAGTTGTTGTTTGTCCTCGTCGTTTCATACTCACAGGGTTGTAGTCTTGTAGATCTACATCTCAATAAAAAGTAAAGCGGTGTGGACCCTGGCTAGCCCCAGACGCTACTACAGTAGCGTCTTTTGCATAGCTACGGGAATAAAAATATTATGCAACAGAGAACCGCCTAGTGAAGAAAGCGTCTGCTTGAAACGTCGGAGGTCGCGCTTCTTGCCGACTGACTTGACACTTGACCGACTCATCATTGCCTCAGGAGCACACGAGAAGCCCGTCCAACCTTCCGCTCAGCAAACCTGCAAGAAAGCACCACTCCCTGCTCACAGTGTTTCGGGTCACCCCTGATCAGTTGAGCTTGAGTATGCTAAATTGCTAATGAAATCTCTGTTTCACTAAATGACTTTACCGCCGATGTCGCAACATCTAGAGAACCACCTAACAGTAAAAACGTCCTACTCGGGACAGTACTTTCTTGAATAGTCGAAGAAGATTATCAAACCACTTGCTACTAAAGTGTAATCTTCTTCTTCGACTAACCCAATAATATACAGTAGATACAACTACAAGTGCATGACAAGAAGACTGGCACCGCATCAAGCCCACCGTCGGGCCGGGTCACAGTTCGAGTCAGTCAAACACCAAAAGAAAGGAAGCCGACAATCCGGGCCCGCTCTAGTCGGGGCAGATCGAAAGTTAAAATGGAACTTAGCCATTGTAGTGTCTGGTCAAGGTGAAAATGGCCTATGAAAGCAATAGTCAACTGATCGAGGCGGACAAAAGCATGAGTAATTGGGCACAACAAGCCAATGCAGGGCTCGTCCATCGTCTTATTATTAGAACAGCATGGCAATTTGCAAAAAGCACAATTGGCAAACAGGTAACCTGGCAACAGCAGATGGGTGCATGGCAACTTCAGCAGACATAATCGACAAACATGTTGCCCCGGCAACTTCAACGGGAACGCACCAATACAACACACAGCCCCGACAGCAGCAAACGGGAATGCCGTTACAAACATAGTGCCCTGGCATACAACTTCAATGGGAACGCACCAATACAAATGCAGCCCCGGTGACAGCGAAGGGGAACACCGCTACAAACATGGTGTCCTGGCGACTTCAACGGGAACACACCAATAGAGGGCTTAAAAGCGATCACATCATCAGTTGAGATGCTTTGACGGAGTTGCGGACTAGCGGCACAGCACTGCACTAGTGACTCACGGCACTGCACGGCACTGCACTAGCGACTCACGCTGCATACTTCTTCGAAAATCTGCCGACTCACACTCACAATTATACAAGTAATTATGTCCATTTGAAAATCTCGATGAAGTCATAACCTCTATACAAACTGGCGTCGCAACTTGAAACAGGCACAACTGACAAAACACACGGCACCCTGCAAAGCAAATGGGTACTCCGTTGCAAGGTCATTCCACAACATCAAGATGCCGCTGCCACAGCATTGAAGCAGCAACACGCCAGACATATATAGGTGGCACGGCACAGGAAGCTACTGCAAAAGGGAGGGAGAGAAAATACCAGCCTGAAAAGGAAAACACTTCCCGTCCGCAGGAAAGGACAAACCAAACTGTATTCAACCATCTACGGCAGCGCATATGAAGGCAACAGTAACAGCAGCAGTGCCAAGATACAAATAATGACCACACTCGTCACGCATAATAATAATAATTGGAGTCATGCACCAAGAGACCCCACTCAGTACATGCCCGTGTGGGCTAACTTGGCTTTGATACTCGAAGCCGGCGGTTGCATTCGGACACGACTCCCTGAACAGATGCCACTGCAACACGTGCAGCCGGGATTGCACAAAAACAACAGTACAGCTGGTCTATTTGGTCGTTGAATCCATACTTGTTGGTCTCTGGTCGTTTTTCTTCTTCCTTTCCCATTATTCCAAGCACACCCACACCCACACCTACACCCACCCATGCGTGCATGCAGACACCGTGACAATCACACTCAACTCTGCTACTGCATTGCAGGTAGACTGTCTACTAGGGACTGCTCACCAGCAGTCATTAGACAACTGCGCACACCGGACCTGCTACAACGACGACATCATAAAACCAAACAATGAAACATATACGAAAATAAACATAAGCATGGCACCATCCGCCAGAAACCACATAACACAACAAGAGAATTCAGCAGAAAGCAGAAGAAGCATAAATCAAACCGACAATCAAAACATAGAAAAGCAAGAGAGTTCCAGCAATAGTGTGCAAACACTCACTGCTGCTCAGCCAGATCAAAAGGCAAAATCATCAAAATAATAGTGAGGCGGTACTAGCTTCGAAGCTCAACAGTAACACGAGAGAGAGAGAGAGAGAGAGAGAGAGAGAGAGAGAGAGAGAGAGAGAGAGAGAGAGAGAGAGCCGGAAAGAATAGAACAGCCACTCACAAACAAGTAGAAAGAGTAGCGCCACTGGACAAGACAGAGACTTCCATGCTCGCTACAATAAATAGACACCAAGAAGATACAAAGGGCAGTATCACTCCTCGGTAGATTCACATCTGTGATCTGAGTAGCATGCGCACGTAGTCTATCATTCTCACAGGTTAACAATGCCGCCCACACTGCCACTGCCACAGCCGTCATTGCTGTTGCTGCTGTTGCTAGTAGTCCTGAGTCACTTCTCTAGCCACCCTAGCAATGTATCAGCAGCGACGCCGGAGCTGGTGGTGGTATCGGTTGTGTGCAGCATAGTACCACAGTGACAGCGGCACTGCTCAACTACCTATTCTCTCTAAGCCTTGTGGCAACTCATTACCTACGATCATTCACTTCAGTCATCCTTGTCTTCTCTACTATTGCTCATCATACGGTGTAACTGAAGCCACGTATGGTTCAATTCTCCCACGACCGGTGGGAAGTCTGTCGACCACTATCACTTCATCACCGGTGCTCCGACAGCAGCAGCAGCAATATCAGACACGTCCCCTGCGGGTTCCGCGTTCAAGTCGATTAGTAGCGTGACTCGCTCAGACTCACCCAGCTCAGGGTTGGTTGCAGCAGCATCATTGTCATCGTTCCGACCTTGACCTGATGGTGCACGATCAGCATGATCAGCTTGATCATTGGCACTGTCAGTGACGCCAATACACACAGCTGTGCTCTCCGCAGTATCGGCAGCACCACCAGTTGGCGCATTCGCAGAGGTTCAGTTAGACGCCGCTGCAGTAGTGTTCGCATCTCCAGCAGCAGCTGCAGCGTTGGTCATAACTGCAAACATTGGGCGACGCATTTCCACAGCAGATCTCACCATCTTCTGAATGCACAGTCAGAACAGCAAAACAACAAAGACATAAATACAATGCACTCAATGAATACGTGGGAAAAGCAAGGAAAGGCCATCGACCAGATGTGATCAAAAATAACTAACCAGGCCGGCAATGGCGGCAATGGGGCTGTCTACAGCATTGGGCATAAATAGTTATACAGTGGAGATCAGATATAACGACCTTGCATATAAGGACAGATTGAGTTTAGCGACACAATTCTGTTGCCCAAGTCGTTTAGTAAGTCCTTTGTGAAGATCGGGTTTAGTGACTAGGGGTGCGGATTATGCTCGCACGCAACCGATATTATGCTTTCGGGCATTTCCCTCGGAACTTCGAAAGTATTCTCCCAAAACATCGAAAAAATTCTCCAGAATTCCCCCCTAAAAAAAGAACCCCAGCACGAACCGTGCCTTGCGCATGCTCTTTAGTATGCAAAATGGACGGTCAGGCACGTGATCACTGCATGCAGGATCTACACTACATGTACTAGATCTACATCTGCCTGTACACAGCTACTATGTCGTGTCCGGGTGTTGCTGAATGTACATGTACGTGCGTCCATGGATGCGTGCTTGTTCTCTGGCAGGTCAAAATTGACAGAATTCCCCCAAAACTCTTCTGAAGGTCAATGGATCTGGCAAAAGATCGATAGAATTCCCCTAAAATTCCCAAAATTTTCTCGACGATAGTATTCCCAAATTATTCCGGGAATAATCCGCGCACCCCTATTAGTGACAGGTCGAATATAGTGACATTTTGTTATCTCCCAAAGGAGTGTCGTTATATCCAATCTCCACTGTATATCCATACTCAGTGGACTCGGCTCTCGAAGGCAAGTGTTCCTGAATCCACACCTGAACATGAAAAGCATAGACCGAGAGATAGGCAGGGGCCAACACATTACATGTACGCCAGCTATGCTGTCCTCACATCTGCTTCTCAGCTATGCTGTCCTCACATCTGCTTCTCAGCTATGCTGTCCTCACATCTGCTTCTCATTTCGTTCAGTATGGTGTAAGATTCCAAGAAACATGACACACATGTTCCCATACACTGCCACACTGTGGGAGAAACATCAAACCATTGAGCATAGCCGCGACCTAACTACGGACAGGCCATTTGTGGCTGACAAAGGTTGGAGCACTACATACAGTGGAGATCGGATATAACGACCTTGCATATAAGGACATATTGAGTTTAGCGACACAATTCTGCTGCCCAAGTCGTTTAGTAAGTCCTTTGTGAAGATCGGGTTTAGTGACAGATCGAATATAGTGACATTTTGTTCTGTCCCGAAGGAGTGTCGTTATATCCAATCTCCACTGTATAGAAGTCTTTCTGATTTGTTCATAGTAGCCTATTTGTTGATCAAGGTAGAATACCACTACTTCCTCCGTTAACAAAAACTTCGTGATGGATTTTGATGGATATGGAAACGCTTAGAACAGGTCAAGAACAGTTTGTATCGACTGCAAATCACTAGACGAAGGTGAATCGGCCTATGTACAGCGTCTTTACAAGAGAAACTGTTGGCGGAAAGAGCAGAGAGTTCAGTTTGCGTCGCTTTCGCTCGACTCATTTTTGACCTGCGTCGCTGTCGTCATCTGCTGCACGCGAGTCGTCATCTGCTGCACGCGTCATTTCTCTCGAGTCGTTGTTCAGCTCGTTTCAGCCTTGCCTCGACTTCTTTAATCACACTCCGCTGACCTTGATGTCGCCGTCGTTCAAGTTAGTTGGCTTTCAAGCTGCGTGATCCGCCGCGATGGCGATTACTCGTTTCCACGAGGGAGTCGTGAACAATATTTTACGACTCCCTGGTTTCATCTTCGCTCTCCAGAACTCCGCGAAACGAGGAGTAAAGGCACAGCCAAACTGATTCCATTTTCGCTAATGGATACCCCTGCCAGCACTGAACGGCACCGGCTAGCAAGTCCAGTCGACTTTCTTTAGCCATGAGACTCGCATCGGACTGCAGACTTCTGAAAGAATGCATGGTCATCAGCATTCGAATCTGGGCTTTGCACAGTTTGAACAAGAGCTTGAGTTCAGAATTAGTTTTCATTGAGCCGTGCGATCGGAGCAGCTCCTTGTTCACTCGCTCATTATGTGGGCTCGCTGCTCCGTTTTATCGCTCTCTATCGCTCTCCAACTCACTTAGTGCCAAAGTGGTAGAGAGGCCAAGCAGCGCAATATCCCCTCGGAGAAGTGGTATTTCAGTTTCGCTCGCCATGACTGTCATCACCTACGTTTCCACAGCGCAACCATCGATTCCACTCGACTTGTTGTGAAAGGTCGATTTCCTTGCATCGTACTTCTTTCATGGCATGCCAGGGAAGGCCAAGAAAGTGATTGCAACTCATTGCACAGCAGTTTGTGCCCAAATCAGCCCCTCAAAAATCCATCACGGAGTTTTTGTTAACGGAGGAAGTACTCTCTGTACCATCAAGACTTACTTCAGAAGTACATCTTCTTCGTCAATGTCCCGTAGGAATGATTGGAACTTGCGCGACACCTCCACCCGATTGGTTCGTTGTGTGATGGACGCAGCGAGGGAGTTGTAGCAAGTCTCCAGGCATGTGGCCAGTTGCTGAATGACCTCGGCATCAAAGTGACCGCCATCCTTCCTCCGACCGGCATCCTTCTGAACATCCTCAATGCCTGGTGTGCAGTGACATCACTCTCCAGTAACTGGAAAATAAAGATGAAAAGCGCAAGAAAATGACAAACATAGCTCGTTGGTAAGGGTATTCTTTAGCTATTGTGTGATTATGGCAGAGGAAGAGGCAGGAGAGGACATTGCACCACTGTCAACCGTCTTTTCTTTCCTATTCCGCCTACAGGGTCTGGCAAATGTACAACTTGTGCAGCAAAATCTTTGAAAGTTGGCAAACCAACACTAGAGGGTGGTGCATGAAGAAAATTTCCAAATTATAACTGTCTTCCAGTAAGTCCAAGCTGACACAGAGACATCACTAGAGTCCATTCATAAAAAAAGATGGACTTCTAGCTTTTGGCCTTAAATGGGTCAAATATTGAGAGCTAATTTTTTGGCACTCCCCTATAGAATTCTCTTCCAATTATGTTTCCGAAGTCTATTTCTCCAAGAATAGGATTTCAGCCAGGTTTTGCAGCAAAAGCACTGAATTGAGAAAATCCAGGCCGTTTCACTCTACTTGTGTAACGCACCTGCCCGCATATTCTTGATTTCCACCGAATAATTTTATTTAACTGCTGCATTACGTCATGATGCACGTTCCGTGCTCCCGTTGCCGCATACGGGACTGAGCTTACATATTTGTACATGTACGGTACAACTTTTCTTGCGCCAGCCTTGTCCTTCTATGAACATTCCATGCCGAGAGAAAGCAGTCGTTCTCTCATGGTCTATTGGACGTCATTGTTCCCGCGTTTTGTCACTTGCGCACGCACAAAAGCACTTTGTGTCTTTTTTTTTGGCAAAACCCCACAAAGCTCAACACATGCCTCGACATGTGGCACGGCCAAGGTGTGTGTGTGTGTGTGTGTGTGTGACCTGCACGAATGCACAACAATTCTTCGAAGTACTTGCGTTGTTCGTTTGTGATTTAAGCTTGGCTATGTCGAGAGGCTGAGCTACTCATTGCGGCCTGCACGCTGCCGCCGTGTCCTCGGCGTGAAATACGTGTGGACGGAGCCGACGTGCGTGTCTGAGCTACGTCGTCGTTGCAGTCGGGTCGCCAATTTAGGAAATTGTGAGATTCTCTCACCTTTGGCCTGACGCTGACGCAGTCTCCCAGTGCCACATCCATTTCCTTCCGGAAAGCACGTTATTTCCTGTCATTCCCACTCTTGTTGTTGTGATCCTTGTGTTTATACGCTGCAACCAGCGTTTTCCACTTGCCCTCCGTTTGCCCAACGATGGGTGGCCGTTGAACCCTTTTGACCGATGGTGAGCAGTTCCTGGTGTATTGCACTCCAGATGACCTTCTTCTTGAAGTTGACATCCGACAATTTCCATTGGTGAAAAGAAACTGTAGGTTGATGTCAAAAGTCTGGTCCATTCGACTGTTCAAACGAAGCCAGGCACTGGAGTGGGAGGAGTGTCAGGTGCAGTCCCACCAGGAGTCACCAGGACAATATCGAGAAGTGGAACAGGCATGGGAGGAGGTGGTGGGTTCTCCATGACAAATGAACCCGGAGATACTGCTTCAGCTGATGCCAGTGGTGGTGCCTCGCATAGTGATTTACAGGCCCAGCTGCAGACTATCCAGTAGCGGCAGAACCTGTTAGCCCGGATGGCAGAAGCCAGTCAGGAGCACCAAGAGCCTGCACCAACCCAGCCCCAAGTCTCTGCTGTCAGGGCCATGTTCAATGCTCGTCATGTCACTCAGCTGAGGACTAACTTTGACTACTGAAGTATGTCGTTGCCACTCTTTCTAACGACAATGCTGTTGAGGTCGGAGATCTGCTCTTGTCACCTCCTGAACACACACCGTACGACATTTTGAAGAGCGAACTCATCAAACGCACGCAGTGTGAAGAAGTTAAAATGGAGTGGACAACTTCTGAACCGTATAGAGCAGAGAAATGGTATTTATTCTCACGTGATAATGAAGAATTCTCAATCCGTCGCCTGAGTGCAAGCAAGACAACTGTGGATCTTAACCCGATGATAAGACAACCCAGAAGGTTTGACATGTGATAGTCCTTCAATATGGAATCCACATACTGCCCTCTCCATATTTTTAGTACAGAATAATATAGCTGACAAAGTACCATTTTTTTCTTCTTTTCTTTTGCTTCACATTATCATATTCATCAATTAGTAGGAGCCGTGGTTGGCTTTGGCCATCCCGGCAAGAAGGCAGATATGCCTGTTTGATTGGTGAATAAAAAAAATAAATACCATACTATACCATACATGTCACCACTCACTGCTGCCGAGTATATATGCAGAGTCACCAGTCTGATCTTGAATGTGAAGCATAGGAAACAGCACCTTCCTAAAATCATAATCAGTGGCGTGGAGGACTTGGGAACTATTAGTGAGACCAAGAGTAGATAAACAAGAGTGTGCAACTCCGGATCTCTCCTGCACAATCTGCAGATACCCCGCGCCCACGGCGGAATTTTTTGTTTACGTCACCTTTTTTCAGAGAAACGCGGATTCTGCCGCAGAGCAGTGTGAGAGCACGTGCTGGGCACCGACCTTGTAGTGTAAAGCCCAGCCAAGGGCACGAGGGAAAACTCTTCAAAAGGCTCGCAGCGCGTGCGTCGTCGAAAAGATTACGTCAACAAAAAATTCCGCCGTGGGCCAACCCATCCGCGAGTTGCACACTCTTGTTTATCTACTCTTGGTGAGACTGATGATGGTGTCATACTGCGAAGGTGGAATGATGGTAGACACTCATTCTACAAGCTTATTGAAATGTGTGACAAACAATGCTCTCAAGACATCATCGACCTCTTCGCTGATGCAACATACATGTATCTGGATACCAGTGACGTAATGCAAATTGTCAAGGAGGTGAATGAGAACGAAGTCTATCGAGTTGATGATATGCGTGTACGGCATAGTACCAAGGCCGTTCAGCTCCGTGCAGTTGCAACACGAGGAACGCGGATTCGTGTGCGAGTAGGTACAATAGACATCAGTGAGGATGGATTCGTCTCAAAATTACCCGAGTCGACTGTTGACACGATGGAGGTGCAAAGGAGGTCGTCGACCGGCAGTTTGATTGCTGACTGGGTGGAACCATTGGTGCACATCAGAGCGTCCGATAACTCCACCTCGTACTGCGTGTCACGGAAGAGGTCATGGGTTAATCCATCCTCACACGTACTCGAAGAGTAAACTTTGTAGTCTCTCATCTGATACCAGCTTGATGAAATCATGACATGGCAACACAAACTGAATTTTATAATGTAAATACTACCCTCCTCCTCCACTCGATTGTGATCTTCAGTGTTCGTTCCATTATGATTATTCTTTGTAATGATATGTATTGTATCTATCAAGAACTGACTTTTATGAGGTCATGTCATACCCCCTAGGCCCTCCACCACCCGAAAAATCTTTTACGCAAAAACAGGGCATCCGGTTTTTACCCCAATATGGGGTTCTATCAATGGTACCCCATTTATACGGGCGGGGACATGTACCTACCACAGAACCCGCCCGACACATACTACTCCCGCAATAAGTCCTGATATCCTACACCAATCCTTCCCATTCGGCCTACTCTCCACATTGTATTGTATTGTTTATTTACGGATTCTCCAGAGGTAAGTGGATACCTATCATGGGAGTCTTACCAAACCAGTAGACTAATGAAAGTAAAATTATGTAGGGAGTGCTCTACCCTGTGCCATCCTGGACGTTCCCCCATCCAAGGCAGCGCTGCAATGCTTTAAGGTCGCCGTGGACAAGTACCTCCTGGAGCAAACCTGTGCGACTGCCATCGACGTGTACACCACAGACTAGCATACTAACTAGCTGATGGCCTTAACTTTTTTTTTTTTTTTTTTTTTACCAGTGCGCTGCCTTCATTAGACATCCTTAGCTAAAAAAACGCTAACGTAAACGCAAACCTTTCCGTACTTCGGATCGTTCAAGCTGACTTTTCCCTTAGCACAAAGTACGTTATAGTTGAGACGAAGTAGTCGTGACAACCATGGCGATATGAATTTTCGTGGAAACAGATGCGGGAAATTCAAAATTTTGAACCAGGGATTAGTTTGCTGTCGTTCCGAAAGAATACCTTGGCGAGGTCTTTTACTCTGGGATAGCAAAAGCACGGCGAAAATGAGTTTTCGCTGTTTCCAGGTCCTTGGAAAACCTTTCCTAAACGCAGCACCGAAGACTGTAAGGGTTCTCCAGCTCCTTCCTCAGGAGTGCCGTGGAACTGGTCCTTTGTTTGCAAGATGGGATAGAGGGAGAAAGGCACGAAGCAGAGGACGCAGACATTGTCAACTGAAAGGCAAAACTCGCCAAAAAAGCTAAATGTCACAAGAGGGAGGAAGCAATCTCGACTCTCATCTCAAACTGCACGTGCTTTTTATCTCCCGCCAGTTACAAAACAATGCGAGTTTTTGCATTTTTTGCAGAGTTTCCATAACGAACGTCGGCCCGTTATTTTGAGCTCTGTAACGTTTTTCCGTTATCCGATAACGTCTTTTGTCACGGCTGGGAGTGAGTACCGTAAAAGTTAGCGTTATCGTACTTTTGCTAAGGATGTCTATTACGTAACTTGCCTCCATCACGCTCTGAAAGCATGCACTCAAACCCACAATATCTTGTACGAGTCCATCCGTTTTTGCTCAATTCGTTCCAGCACCTGCGCAATCTCTAAATGTTGACGCGTGAACTTCCGTACGAATTTTCCGCAGTGCGCACCACTGCAGCTGAATGATGTAATGCAGTGCGCAGACTGCAGCTGAATGATGTAATGAAGGCAGTGCGCCGCGCATCTGGCTCATAGAAAAGAGATCACAGTTACCATGGTTACATACTCTTGTTTATGGACTCTTGGGGATACATGTACGTGCACAAATTGCGGCAATAAAAGCGATGATGCGGAAATCGTTGCTTTCTCTCATGGAAACCCTCAAAAATCACTAAAATTCCCGATTCGATCAAGGGCAGCGTTTGATTGGACCGTGATGGATCCAAAGGATCAATCGATCAATCGATCTGGATCCAGATCCAACAAATCGAACATATCCTTACTTTGTGATGAAATGTCTTTGTCATGGATTTTGCACGTACCACAAAAAAATACTTTCATTTCGTGCCATTTGAGTTAGCAGTACTAATAGGTCTGACATGACCAAATCTTTACACAGGTCGGTTGGGACTATCTTTATGCCATCTCGGATACTATTATTGTGGAAGATTTGATGAAGTCCCACCAAGTGAATACCAACGGAGAGAGGAAGTTTCTACGAAGGTACTATCAGAAAACGACCACGCAAAACTTTCCAGTGGCTCAATAGTTGACCCCAAAATACTAAGCATCACTTTAGTACTTACTCAAGTCGCATCAAAACCTTTATCTGCGGTCTCCAAGCTGTGGAACGCCTCCAGTGCTTCTGAATGTTCGACAACGTCAGCCATTACTTTACTTCTAGATTCTAATTCTTCTAGTTCTACTACAAAAGACAGCTTCTTCACGGAATCGTCATCTTCACCTCTACACAAAATGAGCTGGAGCAGCTGCATGCAGCCATGCACATGCAGGCTGCAGGGCAGGGCCGGCCAGATGCAGATGCAAGCAAAAGGCGCGAAGCTCAAAAATGCAAAAGATCAAAAATGAATGTACCCACGTGTTGCATGGCTTGTTCGATCAATCACTGACTTGTCTGCAACATGTGGACTCAGAAGCAAAATGCAAAGCAAATCAATGTTTGGAGGAGGAAATCTCCAAGTAAAAAGTATCTGTTGCTTCTCTCATACTCAAAGGATATTGTTGTAGATTTATTTGTTGAAGTCTCTGCCGAGTATACTTGGTGACTTTAGTGCCATGGCGGATGTAGATTTTACACTGACTGTATCGAGACTATCCTCGCTGGAGAAATTGCTAAAATGTCCTTTATGGTGAGTGGCAATGTGGCTTTTTTGTTGTTGTGGTGGTCGTTTCTTGTTGTGCTTCTCCCCCAGACTTCCAGGTGTTGCTTAGAGAAGGTTTTGTTGCACGGTGGCTGCTTGCGTTTCATTGTGTTTGTATCTTTGTAGTCTGCGACCAGTAGTATACGTCGTTGAAAGATGGTGGATCTCTCACCCTATAATTTTGTGGATCAGATTGTCTTCACAATCGTATGCCATACACCTACTTGCGTGGGGCCACCAACAAAGTACCATGTAGTTTGTCACTCCAGCTTACTATTGTGTTACTACAGTATTTCCCATCATTTTGTTGCATACTGCCAAGGCGAGGGAAGTGTTTCCATACGTACCTAAATCTCTATAACTTTGTATAAGGATAACCTGAAACGTCGTTGTTTGAACGACATGACATGACTGTGTCGTACATGCACAAGACTCGGCTACTAGAGAAGCTTGGACTTGGACTGACTTTGTGACACATACTATGCTGTGCCCTCCATCCTCCATCAGGTATTGGTGTTGACAATAATTATTATTGATTGTGCTGGGCTAGCAGCTACAATGGCTACTTCGTGTCCTGAGTCCTAATATTTTGTTTTCTGATCCTATTCACTGGTGTGACATGTTGCAGTGTTTCAACACTTACCCAGCCAATCACCATCGAACAGTGTGGTCACAACTTCTGCAGGTATGAAAGACACATTGATGCAGCCCATCGCACTGTACTTTCTGTGACTGTACATATTTTCAATTTTTTTACAAATGTTGAAATTTACCTCAATACAGTGTAGTTGTTGGAACTGTCCACCTCTTCACACTGCGTTCTTGGCCCACCTTCACAACATCATACTCAATAGCGAAGAAGTTCGTTCTTGGTTGGTATTTATTTATTGAAAAATACCTCCATTAATTTTAGTTTACACATTTGTTCTGTTGTTTGCCGTTTCATGTACATGTGTCATAAATGATGGTGTAAGTCAACTTGTCCCCCCACGCACACGGCCATTTTCCCTTGTACAGTACCCTAGGACACGTGAATTTTCAATATTATACACATCTGTGGATCAAAGATGTTGAGCAACTAACTGTTAGGGGACTCCTTTCTATGGATTCATCCTCGTTGAGGCTCAGTGTCAGTTTTGCGTGCCAGTACCAATTACCAGTATGAACGGTACCATTACTCCCACGGTCCCACCCCCAGTCCCGCCATTCCTGAACAAGTGAGTGGCAGTGCACACTGCTGCACTTCGGAATGCCAGTCCAGACATGTGTGTATGTGTGTGTGTGTGTGCGCGCGCGCGCGCGTGTGTGTGTGTGTGTGTGTGTGTGTGTGTGTGTGTGTGTGTGTGTGCGCATGCATTCGTGCGTGTGTGAGCGTGTGTGTGTGTGTTCTTGTATGGTGTACATGTGTGTGTGTGTATGTATGTGTGTGTGTGTGTGTGTGTTTGTGTGTGGTGTGCATGCACGCGTGTGTGTTTGTGTGTGTGTGTGTGTGTGTGTGTGTGTGTGTGTGTGTGTGTGTGTGTGTGTGCATGCATGTGATTATACTTCTTTGTAGACAATGTGTTGTGCGTCATCTCTCAGCCAACACAAGGTCGGAATGTCCCGTCTGCAAGATGGCAATCTGGACAAACAATCTTCAGCCGAATCGTCAGATTGATACTGCTGTGAACCTCATCTCTCAGTTGCGTTCTATACTGGATACTAGTCCTGGACATGATGATAGCTTCTCAAAATCACCCTGTAGAGCATCTGCAGCTACTGGTGAGTAAACGTACCTCCATCTGTGTGTGTGTGTGTGTCCCACCGGAGTTAGTTTCTGTTACAATATACTTTCTGTTGGACTACTTGGATCATGGTCTGTAGAATGGCAGTCAAAACGAAATAATGTTAGCGAACTTGGCGATAACTTTGTAGGAAAGCGGAGAGCGATCTTCGGTGTGGGGCGCAACTAACTTTCCTAATGGCAGCCAACACATGCCAAACGTCAGCTTCTAAATGTTGTAGAAACTACTCATGAAATCTTTGTTGTTGTTTTGTTTTTGATTGTTTATATTCTACCCGATGTCCAGGTGCGCAAACATCACCAGGAAGCTCCATTGTCAGTCCACTGCAGACCCCGTCTAGACGCACTACCAGTTCGTCACCGTCATCGTTATCACCTGTCGCCATCCAAGCAAGTTCTGCTGCAGCATCTTGTAGTCAGCATGACTCCGCAGTAACTGCAGCATCATCTCCACCTCTGCTGGCAGCAGTCACAGCAGCAGCAGCAGCAGCAGGTTCAGCTTCAATAGCAATAGCAGCTGTGACTACCATCTCGCCAGCTTCATCCGCTCAACGCTCATCTCCTGTCCAGTCACGGTTGCAGTCACCTGTTTGTGTACTCTCTGGTGATACTAACACTACTCTGGCTGGTGCACCCATCGGTAATGACAGAGCTAGCAGCAGCAACAACAACAGTGTAGGTACAGATGATGTTAGTCATGTTATCAAGGAAGCCCGCCATGATCCGCTCCAACAAGGTCCTATCACTACCGAGCATCCTAGTGGCAAGGTGAATGACGACATCACAGTGCCACTCGTGCCTGCTGAGCGCATGCTTTCAGGACTGACCACTGCAGGATCTACGTCAGCCGTGTCTGCATCATGCGACGACTATCCTGCCATTGCCAGTGGCAATGCACAACTGCAGTCACAATCTGCTGCTGCTGCTGCTGTCAAAGTGAACAAGGAGCAGCATCAGTCACACGACGTCACCACCAAACACGTAAAGCAGATGGGTGATCAGATTGTCGATCAATCTGAACATATGACAAGTGAGTGTGGCGAAGTACTGCCTCTGACCAACAAAGATAGCAGTGTTGTACAAACAGCGATAATCACCCCGAGCAGTGTCTCCCCCTCTCATAGTACGGTGGCTGGTGACGGCAAGGGTTACGCGTCAGTGAATGTTAATGAGCTGGCCACCACCCATAATACCGGTGGTGCTGTTGCTGCTGCTGTGTCTGCTGATGGCAGTGGTAATGTAAAGAGCAATGACTACGTCGGTAGTAGTTCCTACCCGGGCACCGCCACTACGACAAACACTGACGGGAATGGTGACGGCGAAACGTGCAATAGCGATGCCAGCGACAGCGACTCCGGTGGCAGTGTGTCGAGTAATGTAGGTGGCTTTCCGTTTTCCCAGTCACAATCCGTTATGGCCAGTCAGCAACTAGTTAGAAGAGCCTATGCTCGGCGCACTTATGCCAGTCACCAGCGGCGCAAACCTAGCAGCAAAGCTTGTGGAAAGAGCAGTCGCCGCAACCCTAGGCAAACGCAGCAAGATGGCACCAGCGGCGTACGTCACCGACGACAGCTAGTCAACAGTCGTGTGACCGGCTTCAGAAGTCTGTCTGATGTCACTGAAGATTCATCGGCAATACCACCACCTATGGCGGGGAGTGCATTGTCAAAGCCAGCAGCAGCAGCAGAAGCAGCGGTCGCAGGTACATCCGGTTTGTCAAATGACGCTACTAGCACGGTCACTAGCACTGCTGATGATGCTGCTGTAGCTGCTGCTGCTGCTGCTGCTGTTGCTGATGATGATGGTGACGCTGTACTGGCATGTAGCGGTACCAGCACTGGTAGCCTGAAGGGAAGGACACCACCACGCAAACGTTCTGTCTTGGCGCGTTCTGGTACTAAGTCCAAAGGTAAATTTGTGGATGTGTGTACTTTATGCTGCTGCTGTTGTTGCTGCTGCTGCTGTTGCTGCTGCTGTTGCTATTGGTGCTGCTCCCATTGGTGCTGGTAGCACCGCTGCTAATTGCATGGTGCTGACTGTTGTGGTGTGGGCTGTGAGGGTATTATCTTCACTCCTTTGTCTGTTTTGGGAATAGTCGAGGTTGGTATTGATCCATATGTTTGGCACGTCCATTTTTGCTTCTCGCTTTTCTCTCTCTCTCTCTCTCTCTCTCTCTCTCTCTCTCTCTCTCTCTCTCTCTCTCTCTCTCTCTCTCTCTCTCACACACACACACACACACACACACACACACTTGTACTTGTACTTGTTGCTCACTGCCAAAACTGGTCACGTGGGTCTCCCCGGGAAAGGGGAGAGAGACTCAAAAGGAATCTTGGAAAGATGGCTCAATTGGCTATTGAACCGCCCAACGGCCGACACCCCCTGAAATCCCCAAAACTCTGGGTGGACTTGAAAATGATCCCACTTATGGGCTCACCACACCTCAGTAAGTGGGTGAGGACAAGGTGCAGAAAAAGGATTGACGGCATCAGGGTATCCGTCCCGGGATCCAACTGCAGTTACCCCTGCCCCCAGTGAAGGTAATCCTTGCTACTAGTGTGGTTGGCTAAATCAGAGTGAATCTGATATAAGCATCACTAGCACCATTGATTACACAAGAGTTAATCTAGCCAGAAGCAGTCCATGGTTAACAGGTATGTATACTTCACACACACACACACACACACACACACACACACACACACACACACACACACACACACACACACACACACACACACACACACACACACACACACACACACACACACACACACACACACACACACACACACACACACACACACACACACACACACACACACACACACACACACACACACACACACACACACACACACACACACACACACACACACACACACACACACACACACACACACACACACACACACACACACACACACACACACACACACACACACACACACACACACACACACACACACACACACACACACACACACACACACACACACACACACACACACACACACACACACACACACACACACACACACACACACACACACACACACACACACACACACACACACACACACACACACACACACACACACACACACACACACACACACACACACACACACACACACACAC